CCTGAAATAGACCAGCAGCTTCTATTATATAGTCTAGACTTAACTGGTATTAATATAATCTATTCGCTGTCATTTTTTTAAGGCCTCATGTTAGCCTCCTCCACTTCATAGGAGCCTGATATGCAATAACCTGATTACAGAAAGTCGCATAGAAGGAGTTAGTGACTGTAGGGTTTCTGAACTAGGAAGAGCATTATAAAGCAACTGCGGTCCTAGGAACGTTAGGGGAGAGCCAGGCTGCGACCCATCTTTTCAAAGCAAGAGCGAGGCCAAGAAGCAGCAAAGCAGCACTCGTACACTGGAAGGATGGGGCATGGTGGATCGCAACCATGCAACAGCGGAACCACCGGGCGGATGGGAAAGGAGATGAAGGAAGATCAGTTGTATCAGCTACAGAATCTGATTCCGGTGAGGCTACAAGCCTATCTTCGACTTTCGTTGTTCTTTCTTCTTGCTGTAAAGTGCCATTTCCGCTCCCCAACGACAGAAGTACGAAATTACTAACTAGTCTAGTTGCCATTTCATTTTTCTGCCCGTGTGGCATGGGACAGTTTTGCTGTTATTTACCCTAAAGCAGAGAAAGCTGGATCAAAGGATGCTTTTTTAAAAGGCCGATTTTCGGTATCAATTGCCGGATGAATTCAGTGACAGCCAAAGAAAGGAATTAAAAAGCAGTGATCTCCGCCTTGCAGCTTGTCAAGGAAGTCAAGAAGGACGAAGAAACGTTTGTGGCCCAACATTTGTTAAACCCCCTTTTCTCGGTGGAGGTTACGGTGATATTTTAGACCTTAAAACAGGGCATTTCTTGCTTATTCTCTTTCTTGTCTTCTCTTATCTGCGCCTTGCTTGCCTTTATATGTATGCTTTTTCTCTCTCCTTCTTCTTCGTGTCCCAGGGCCATTCCTTTAGAGGTTGATTAAGTTCCCTCTTTTTAGGAAAATGGCTTGACGTAAAGTGTCAGTTCAACGATAGACAGTCAATTCAATCTCGGAGATAGCTTTTCAAAAATGCTCTTGTCCATGTTAAATGAAAGGACTGAGCTAGGCCCTAGAACAACGGGTTACACACACACGCTTCCAGTCTTCAATAGCAGTCTTCAAATGATACTGAATAAGTCGTAGTGTGGTTAAGCCAGGGCCAGGGTCAGATCCATCTCCGGAGACCAGATAAGGCAGAGCCTCTACGCCTTCTTCCTTTGCTACAGCTATCGGATATTCATTCAAAAATAATGCATTTACCTTTCCCCTGGGAGAAGAACTTTAATCTAGTTAGGATGTCCTCGTCAAGTAAGAAATTAAAGTCTCCGTCTTGGAAGACCGAGTGCCAGAAGGCAGATGAGCTAACCGTAGCCCTCGTCTCGTAAGGTCAAGAGTTCTGCCATTCCTCTCCGCTCTGGCAACTCGAACTCTAAGGCAAGGAACTTGAAAATAGGCTCTTTTTGATTGAGACCAAATCTTCTTTCAAAAGAGTTCCCACATTACTACTAACAAGAGACTAGCAGCGGCAAGAGAGAATTCTCTTCCCTTCTTTCTTCACTCATAGTTCTAGCTTTCTTCCTAAGATAAGTCAGATCGGTGCCTTTTCTCTTGCGACCTTCCATTCCAAGCAGCAGGGTTGAAGGAAGAAGACAGCAGGTGTGTGGTATAGCTCTTATCTGTTCGCTCCTGTCGACTCTGAACTCATGGTGGAGGATGGGCTACTAACTAGATTAGACTAGAAGGGAGGAGAGAACATCGGGAAATCTCTGTAGAGAAGCAAAGTCCTAATCAAAGCAACAAGGTAAATTCTATCTTTTAGGAAGGCTCCCACGTGCCATTGATTTAGAGGAATTAGCTGTTGCCGTTGGCGCTCTTCTCTTTTCTGAAGCAAGGAAGGAAGCCTTGCCTTTCATTCATAAGTCACACAAGAATTGCTCAAGGTTGGAGGCAAG